TAACTGTTCTAAAATTTTCTAAGCCACTTGACTTCAATCAAGAAAAACCAATACTAAGAAAGATCTCAGCTGGCTAAACAACGAAAGAAGAAGGAAGAGAAATGAAAAGCATGCATTAAGTGCAGAGGATTGTTCACAGAACTGGATTTTCAGTGGAAGGTACCAAAGCTTCAAAGACTATTTTCAATGTGCACGGGGTTTTAACTCCATCCACTGAGTCTAGGTCTCTAGGAAACAGATAAAGTTGAAAGAAATACAAGAGAAGGGAATAATCTTTAGCACCTCAACCATAATACCTCAGAGAGGCAGCAAATTTGTAACCTTGCTCTACTATTTGTTTCATTTGCCCTTGATTTCTCTTCCTTGGCTACCAAAAAAGCATCTGTAGAGAATGCCTTTACTAACTGCTTAGCGCAAGGGTATGATCTTCAAAAAGGATATGACCCATCCAAATGAGATATTGTCAAGGTCCAAAAACAAACAAATTCTTTAACACGCTGCTTGCCGTAAACAGATGCACCAACTTCAGTTTGAGAGACAATAAAGTTCAGTCTCAAGTCAGCTGGTGCTGCTTAGGGGACATGAAGCACGAGATGCTGGACTCAGACAATCCTCCTGCATCTTTATTTACACTGACATAGTCTGACGGTCAGGGTGTGAGAGAAAGAGAGCAGTGTCACCTCTTAACAAACACCAAACTAAACTTGGAGAAGAATTCTCTAATTCACTGCAAAAACTAATCAGAATATTAAGTGACTGCATATATACTTAAAACTATAAATCCATTAAATATTATGTTGAATCATTGTTATTCTGAATCGTCGAATCCAGATATAGTACAACTGGTCTTTAGTTTTATGTGGCAGTCGATTCCATTTCTATTCGGATGTATGCTTAAAATCCAAGTAGAATCTTACGCATTCAAGAGGTTTGGGTCAAACCTAAAATATCAGTAAGTGGCTTGTTACCAGTAGAACTGCAAACTCATAAGCAATAGAACTACTTACAGCAATAGTCGATACATAGCTAGTTACATAAGTTTGTCGAATCATAAAGTATGCTACACGTCAAGTGTATGGAATACGGAATACCCCTTTTGGCTCATGGCCAAATGAGATGAATATAACATTCTTAACATCATTAGGTGAAACAAAATCGGTTAGAATCAATAGAGGGACAAACCTCAATATCCTTGCAATTTACAGATAGATCAGAACAAAATATAGCTGGAGTTGTCCCTTCCTATTCAGAATCTTGAAACAAGGGCATGGGTACCCTAAGCAATTAGCTTTCTTGTAAATCAAAATGTATATCTCATAACATATCCTGTATTTTTCTAATCTCCTCCATAAATCAGGGGTCAAAACATCAAAAGATTCGTCGCAGTCCCGACAACAAATGGTTCCATCAACAACCTTGTCAAGAAGTAAAAGATAACCCCCAAGGCAATGGATATGGGAAGCGCTGGCAACGCGTGCCTACACACAGCTAACAGTATAAGTGTGCAACCTAATCCACTTATAATAGCAAGATAACAAGCATAAACAGTCATCAAATCATACATTGCAGCTCTACCCACCAACACACTATAGAAAACAAAGTCTCCTAAACCAAGCTTTATCCCCCTCCCTCTCTCCTCCTCTTCCTCCAATTCCCTCTCCCTCTCCATAACCCGACTCCCATTACTCTCATTACTACTTTCCCTTATCTCTTGATTCACCACGTGCCCGTCGCTTATCAATGGTGATGTCTCCCCCTCAAATTCACCCCCTCTAACACCACCAATCTCCTCATTTTCCCTCCCATTCCGAACCACATTTTCGCCACTCGACATAACCCCAAGCTCAATTGAATCCCCATCTGAAAACCCAGCTAACAAAAGCCCTAAATTAGGCCCTCTATTCCCAGATCTTGAACTCACATTGGGCCGGGCTTCATACACCAAAGCCGGCAACTCTTCATCCCTACTAGAAGCTAACTCCACCAATATCTTCAACGGCCCACCGGGGGCTAAAACCGCAGCCAAATCATATAAAGCAAGTGCAACAAGCACAACCCAAGTAGTCCATTCAGGTAATTTAGTAAACCAAGCTGCAACAATAATCCCCAAAGCCACCATATACATTTGATTAAGCAAAATCGGAACCCCTTGTGAAAATACCGAAATAACCCCAACAATGGTGAAATTAAAAAGCAGAAGAACAAAAGTAAACGAATCAATCGGGATATTGAAATGTTGAATTAGTGAAAGACAAATTGACCCACCCATTGAACCCAAAACGAAGAAGGCCGAAAAACGGATGTAATATTTGAGGAAATTAGTGAAACGGTAGTAATAGAGGATTACGAGGAGAAATGTAACGAGAGTTATGAGGAGTACGAAGACGAGTGCATTAAGGAGAGCGCCTTCGAGTTTAGTGGAAGTGGTGTCGGTGGGTGATTCGAGGTATACGAGGTTAGCAGCTGTACGGAGGACTTGTTGATCGGAAGAGGAAGTTGAGGAAAGAGAGTAGACGATGAGAACTACGAGGAACATGCAGATGGAGACCGGTGACATTACTCCGATGATTTCAGTTCCGATCGTTTCTAATATGCTGCCGCCGTCCATTTTTGGGGTCGCCGGCCGGTAGAGGGTGAATGGCAGAAAAAGGAGTGGTGAAGTAGTTGTGGAGGAAAATGGTAATGGGTAAAAAGGGAACGAGGTTTTTGAGAAAAAAACTGTGCACTTCTTTTTTAGTGAATATGCTTGGACCCGCCTAAACTATACAATGTTTTTGTAAGTTTCAAACTTAATTTATTCTATTGAGTGTCCTTGGAAACCCCCTAAACTATATCCCCTTTGTAACTAAACACCCCCCAACGCATTAGCCCTAGTGCGTATGATAATTAAACTAATTAATCATAAAATCGAGTTAATTGGGTAAAATAACTTTATTACGCTCAGTCAAAAAATTAGGTTTTTTTACTCGTTCCTTCAGTAAAGACTTCTCGGTCAAAATAGGTTCCTTTTACTCCCATCAGAGAAAACTCTTATCGGACCGTCAAAGTCTCTTCTCCGATCATCTTCCTCCAATTTCTCTTCAAAACCAGTCGCTGCTACCATCGATTCCTCTTCAAAACTAGTCGCTGCTATTTCGAATTTGGAATAAAGGTGAAGGTTTGCTGGTGAATCCGAACAAAATTAGGGCTTAGGGTTTTGCTGGTGAAATATCTTCCTCCGATTCTTCGAAGAATCTGAAGATTATTAAAGAAGATTGCTTCAATACAGGTTTATTCTTTTTTTTCCTATTAATTTTGTTGCGAAATTATGATATGTAGTGCTGTGATTTAGTTCGTAGTACCAAAATTTGGGTTTTTTTTTGAGCTGTTACATCTTCCTGCTTGTCGATGTTTGTTTGTCGAATATATAGTTGCATGCATGCTGCTTGTTGTTAGTTTTGGATTTCATATCTTTTTATATTAGATTAATAAAATGTTCTGTGTTTTTTGCCTTATTCTTTGCTGTTTTTATTGTTATTTTAGGGTAATAGCAGACAAATATTTGAATTTGAGATTTCATATTGGTGGTATGCTTGTGAGTGAGGTAGGGCCGGTTTGTGTTGGGGGGAACATTAAATATGCCTTTAATGTGGATACAGACAAACTTTCTATTCCAGAAATTGTTGATTATGCCGAGGATTTTGGGTTTATCAATGTAGGAAAAATGTATATTGTATCTTCTAAGGGTGGCAGTTTGGTAGAATTGAAAAATGATAGGGATTTGTTGGTACTTGCTGAGCTGTTAAGTAATAAGGATACAATAGACATTTATGTATGCCATAAGGGAGATAATGTGGTCCAGAATAGCCATGTGCCTAGTGGGGTCGTTGAAGAATCTTCCAGTAGGGTTGTTGAAAGTTTCCATGCACCTTTAGGTTCCCAAATTGAAAATGTTGATTGTAGTGGTCAAATAGAACTCCCTGAACAGTCACATGTTGTAGAAAAACTTCCTACAAACTCCTTAGTAGATGAAGATAATTCTGACATAGGAGATGAAGACTTAGAGGAGATGACATAGGTAATGTTGCACATAGTGATAAATCTAGCAGTTCTGATGATGAAGAGCATGAGGTTGATTATGGTAGTGATGTGCATGAAGAGTTGGACATAGTTACAATAGATTTGAAGGCTTATAAAAAAAAGAGCACCAAGAAAGAAAGTAGTTGCTGAGTGTTTTCTTGGACCTGTTGGGATAGATCTAGGTTTTGAAGACATAGATAAAGGGAAGAAAAATGTTTCTGGTAAGTTAGTTGGTGATGAACCTTTTTATGACAGTTCAGATGCTGATAGTTTTGTGAGTGACAGTGACAATAAGAGTGGTAATGAATCAGGAAACATAAGTGGCAACATGAAAGCAAGAAAGGATAACAAGAGGGTAATATATAACCCAAAATGGGAAAAGGTGGTTTGACAACTTAACATGGTCTTTGAAAATGTATATAAGTTTAGGGAAGCTGTCACCAGGTATGCAATAGAAAGAGGTTGTGAGCTGGTGAAGATAATAAATGATAAAAATAGAGTTAGAGTGAAATGCAAAACTAGTGGATGCCCTTGGTTGTTATTTGCAAGCAGAGAGCCCAAATCTGTTGATTTCATTATCAAAACTTATAATCCTAGGCATAACTGCAACAAGACCAACACCAATTCAATGTGCAATACCAAGTATCTTGCAAAGTACTATAGAAGTAGGATAATTTCACAGCCATGCATAAAGGGTTGGGAGATGCAAGATTTGGCAAGGGAGGATTTGGGTTTATATGTTGGGAAAAAAATTTGTTTGAAGGCTAGGAAACAAGTATTGAAAGAAGTTATGGGTGATCATGTGAAAGGGGTTTGGCAGGATTTATAATTATAGAGATGTGCTCCTTCAATCAAATCCAGGGAATACATGTGAGGTAAAAGTGACAGATTCTGAAGATGGGAAAAAATTATTTCACTCCTTCTACATTTGCTTTGCAACAATGAAAAGGGGATTTATTGAAGGATGTAGAAAATGTATTGGGTTAGATGGTTGTTTCTTGAAGGGAATATCTAAGGGACAGCTACTTGTTACTATTGCAAAGGATGGGAACAACCAAATATTTCCAATAACATGGGCTGTAGTTGAGACAGAAAGTAAAGACACATGGTGTTGGTTTATAAGGATATTGAAGTCTGATTTTGAGATCAATGATGAAGGAGAAGAATTGACAATCATTAGTGATATGCAAAAGGTACTATCTTATTTAAGCTAATAATATCCTTTTTACTAACAATGTCTTTTTTACAGGGTTTATATTCAGTAGTTCAAGAATATCTTCCTGAATGTGAGCATAGAATGTCTGCAAGACATATTCTAGCTAACTGGCAGCAGAAATGGAAGGGTATTGAGAGAAGAAATGGGTTTTGGAGCTGTGCAAGATTAACTTATGAAGTTGAACTTAAATCAAAGTTGGACAAACTAAGTAAGTTAGGTCACAAGATTTGTGAAGACTTGGTAAACTACAATCCTGAGAAATGGAGCAAAGCAATGGTTAGAACTTCTTCCAAGTGTGACAGTGTGGATAATAACATGGCTGAAAGCTTCAATGCTTGGGTTTTGGGTCCTAGGCACAAGACAATTATTAGCATACTTGAAGAAATTAGGATAAAGGTAATGAATAGGTTCACTAGAGTGAGGGCATTTGCAGATACTTGGAATGAAGCCATATCACCAATGGCAATGATGGTGTTGGTTACAAATGTGGAGAAGTCTATGAGGTGCACAATACACTGGAATGGTGATTTTGGGTATGAAGTTAAGGGGGCTACAGGGATTAAACACATTGTCAAGTTAACTGAGGAAGTGTGTAGTTGCAGAGCTTGGCAACTAAAAAGGATACCTTGTGCACATGGTGTGGCTGCAATTCATCACAAGAGACTTAATCCACTTGACTTCATTTCTGAGTGGTACAATAAAGAGACCTCCCTAAAAGTTTATTCTCATTTCATACAGTCAGTACCATGCATGGAGATGTGGCCTGAGTCAACAAATGCAAAGGTTGAACCATCTCCTGTTAGAACAATGCCTGGAAGGCCAACAAAAAAAAAGAAGAAAGAAGGTTGGGGAGATAAAAACAGTGGCAAGCTTACAGAGAGGGGAATATCAATGAGTTGCTCAATTTGTAAGTCAACAGCTTATAACAGAAGAAGATGTCCAAATAAACCTCAAAGCACTTCAGAGGTACTTTCTGTTTTTTTTTGCAATGTTTTTGCATCTGTCAGCTGTTACTATTTTTGATTGTTTCTACTTCATGTTTGTGACTGCCTCCTGTTAGAAACTGCTTTATGTTATAACAGAAACTGGTTGTTTGGGAATGTTTGGGACTGCTGAATGTTTTTTCTGCTGATTTTGAGACTGATGAATGTTGTTTCAGCTGAATTTTCGTTTCTGCTGAATGTTTGGGACTGTCTGCTGAATGTTTGGGACTGTTGAATGTTGTTTCTGCTGAATTTGAGACTGCTGAATTTTAGTTCTGCCTCCTGTTATTTTCTGTTGAATTTTAGTTCTGCTGAATGTTAGTTTCTGCTGAATTTTAGCTTAAGTTAGCTGTTATTTTATGTTTCTGTTATAGCATTGTATTAGTTGTTATATATAAGTTAGTTGTTAGCTTAAGTTAGCTGTTATTTTCTGTTTCTGTTATAGCATTGTATTAGCTGTTAGTTTCTGCTGAATTTTAGCTTAAGTTGGGATTGTTTCTATATGTGCAAAGGGAGTGGCTCAATCACAAAAATCAACCTCTAAAAAGAAATCAAAGGCTGACTCCCAAGCATCTACTAGTAAGAAGAATGCTAAAGCTAAGGGTGGTAAAGGAAGAAGTAATAACAACTTGGTGCAGAAGTCACAAAACTCAGATGTGCAACAATCTCAAGTTTCAGATGTCCAGCATTCTCAAGTTTCAGATGTGCAACAATCTCAAGTTTCAGATGTCCAGCATTCTCAAGTTTCAGATGTGCAACAATCTCAAGCAAGCAAAAGAGATGCTCTTAATGCATTTAAGAGGCCAAGAATAGTGGGACATGGAGTATTTGTTAGCAAAAGTGGCTATACATGTGTTGAGGTAATTAGCAGTTTGGTTGCTAGTTTTGAGGTTGCAAGTTAAACTCTATTATCTGATATCTGATTTTTTTAACTTAATTTTCAGCAAGGGAGGCCTGTTAGTAGGGTAATCGACAATGGAAGGAACAATGGAGGAGTTGAAAGTTCAGCTGTAGTGACTGGTGATCTTGGTTATAAACCAAGTAAATGCCTGAAATGGAAGGGAAAGCAAGCAATCAAAACTAGACAACTTCAACATAGAAGTGCTTTACTACAGTATTTAAGGACAAAATCACCAAAAGCTAATGAAAAAACTGGAGATGTTTGAGCTTCAACACTACTTTATTGGGTATTGTTGTATGCGGATACTCTAATTGTGTTTTGAATAATATTTTTGTGGTGAAAGTTATGAAACTAGTTGTTTAAATGTTGTTTTACTTCAATGCACCTTATGGGATGTAATGTAAAATTAGTCAATTGTAGGCCTTTTGAGCTCTATGATACATGCTGGCAAGAAACTTGTTTTACTTCCCTTCTATTTAGAACAGATAGTTGGTTCCTTTTGGTATTTGCTTTTTTGTACTGCAGCAATCAAGGAATGACAGGATATAATACTTGAAGCAGTATAATTGAGTCAGTTTTAAATGAAGCGAAAAAAGCAACAATACACATTGAAACATATACTAATAATATTTCTAGCATTTCAAACAAAAGCAACAACCAAGTTTCAGATTACACTTCCTAGGATTTGAAACAAAAGCAACAACCAAGTTTCAGATTACACTTCCTAGCATTTGAAACAAAAGCAACAACCAAGTTTCAGATTACAAAACACTTCCTAGCATTTGAACAACCAAAAATACACATTGAAACATATACTAATAATAAGCAACATCTTCAAATTTTTGTTCTCCTTCAATTCAGCCTCAAGTTCCATTTTATCCTTTTGTAAGCCAAGAATTATTACTTTCGATTGGCCAGGAAATTCCGGATCATACCACTGGAAAAATCCACAAGCCACACGATCCTTAGCCTGAAAATTCTAACCAAACCATTCAAATGAAAAAGCAAAATTTAGCCATATTAAATCACATAAATATGATGATTTGCAAGATAATTACCCCATAGTACTTGCATCCAAAAAAACGTCTTCCCGGGTTAGCATTTGTCATTGATGTTCTCAAAAAAGCGGGCTGCCCACAACCACAAAACACATTAAACCTCGTGACTTTTTTACAATGGGTGTTCTTCTTTCAAATTAATTTGGGTAACAATGAAGGATGAATAAAATGAGAAAGATAAAAAATAAACTCGATAAATAGAGAGAGAAATTCAAATGGATTAAGATGAAGAAAGAGATAAAAAGGGTGAAGAAATGATGAAGAAAGGTGAAGAAATGGTGAAAAAAGGTGAAGAAATGGAGAAGATGGTGTAATATAAAGAAAAAGGGAATAAAATATAAGTTTTTTAAAAAATGGGCGAATTAGCCGTTATTGAAGCTGCCAGGTGGGCCCTGTTTCATTCTAATTTTCAATGTTCACGCGCTCTTGCTGTGATGACCCAAAATGTCATCATTAAATTAAATAATCATCTCGGTGTTTTAAAACCTTGAAAAGCGGTATCAATAATTTCTCGACTTGCGTGCGTAGTCCGTATAAATTTCCGGAAGGTTTTTATGTGAAAAATGGATTAAATTGTGAACTAGAGCTTTAAAACTCAACTGAGTTGACTTCGGTCAACATTTTGAGCAAACGAATCCGGATAAAAATTTTGACCATTCCAGTAGTTCCGTATTGTGATTTGGGACTTGGTCATATGCCCGAAATCGAATTTAGAGGTCCCTAGATCAAATTATCGCAATTTAACGGAATCTAGAAATCTAACGCTAAAGATTTCTTAAGTTTGACCGGAGATTTGACTTTTGAGAAAAAGATCCCGGAATGGAATTTTGATGATTCCAATAGTTTCGTATGGCGATTTTGGACTTAGGAGCATGTTCGAATTTGGATTTGGAAGTCCGTAGGACAATTCAACGCATTTTGGCGAAAGTTGGAAAATAGAAGATTTTTGGAAATGTTTGACCGAGAGTTAACTTTTTGATATCGGGGTCGGAATCTAGTTTTGAAATTTTTTACAGCTTCGTTATGCCATTTATGACTTGTGCTCAAAATTTGAAGTCAATCGGACTTGATTTGATAGGTTTTTGCATCGAATATAGAAGTTGGACGTTCTTAGTTTCATTAGGCTTGAATTGGGGTGTGGTTCACGGTTTTAGCATTATTTGATGCGATTTGAGGTTTCGACTAAGTCTGTATCATGTTTTAAGACTTGTTTATGCATTTTGTCGAGGTCCCGAGGGCCTCGGGCGGATTTTGGAAGGTTAACGGATATAAAAAGGCTGCTGCAATTTTCTGGGCAGTTTCTACATTTTTCGCACGTGTGAACAGTGGCCGCACCTGCGTGAATAATATCCGTGTACATTACAAATAAACAGTATTCGTGTACAGTACCCATGAACAATACCCCGTAAATAGTACCTATAAACAGTGCCCCGTGAACAGTACCGTGAACAGTCGTGAACAATACCTGAAATTTTCTGGACGGAATGTTAAGTTTTGAAAATGGGACATTTTTACCAAATTGGAGCTCGAGGAGAGGCAATTTTTGGGAGATTTTCAATACAAAGGGGTAAGTGTTCTTAACTTAATTTTGGTTAGATTACCCGAACCTATTACTAGTTTTGACATTAAATCTGTGAATTTAGTTGGAAGAGTTTGAAAACCCTCTCGGATAGATTTGAGAATTTGAGGGTCGAAATATTATCGAAATTTAGTAATTTTGGTATGATTAGACTCGGGGTTGGATAAGGTTTCATATTTCACAACTTCCGTCGAATTCCGAGACGTGGGCCCTACAGGCGAATTTTTAGTGCAATTTCGGATTTTTAATGAAAAATGTAGAATTCCATATGGAATTAATTCCTATAATTTTTATTGACTGAATCGAATTATTGTGGCTAGATTCGAGGCATTCGGAGGTCGATTTGAGAGGAAAATGCATTGCGGAGTAGGATTTTGCTCGGATTGAGGTAAGTAACGGTTTATAAATCCGGTCCTGAGGGATGAAACCCCAGACATCGTGTCGTATGGCTATTTTGGAGGTGACGCACATGCTAGGTGACGAGCGTGTGGCCGTGCACCGTCGGGATTGTTACTTGGTCCATCCCGTGAGACTGTGGAATCAATTGGCCTACTGTTTAATATATGTTTCCTCTGTTTTTCATGGAAATTGACTGTACTTCATGTTAGAAATCATGTTTAGGCTTTATGTGATCATTGTTGAGACATGCGAAGTCGTGTACTTGCTGAATTAGCTGCTAAATTGTTGTTTTGTACTCAGTCATAGCTTTTCTTGCTTTTTATACCTCCGTCTCTTACTATTCATTGTTGATATATGATATTACTTATGTTTGGGCCGTTTTTATGATTTCTGAGAGCCCGAGAGACTGGAGAGATTGATGCCTGAGTAAGGCCGAGGGCCTAGTTGTGAGATATTGATACTATAGCACGTGAGTTGTCCGTGCAGCACGTGAGTTGTCCGTGCGGATCCAGATAATGATACTATAGCACGTGAATTGTCCGTACAACACGTGAGTTGTTCGTGCGGATCCACATATTGATACTATAGCACGTGAGTTGTCCGTACAGCACGTGAGTTGTCCGTACAGCACGTGAGTTGTCCGTGCGGATCCAGATATTGATACTATAGCACGTGAGTTGTCCCTGCGGATCCAGATATTGATACTATAGCACGTGAGTTGCCCGTGCAGCACGTGAGTTGTCCGTACGGATCGAGATATTATATTATAGCACGTGAGTTGTCCGTACAACACGTGATTTGTCCGTACAGATTATAGCGCTTGGGCTGAAGGAGCCCTTCCAGGAGTTTGCACACCCCCAATGAGCGCATGTATATGATAGCACGTGAGTTGTCCGTGCAGTTTATAGCGCTTGGGCTGAAGAATCCCCTCCGGAGTCTGCACATCCTCAGTGAGCGCAGGTACTTATTGAGTATGATTATTGAGGGCTGAGAGCTGAGTGATTGAGCTGTTGAGATGAGCTGAGTGGCTGTTGCCTTGAGAGGCCATATTTGTTTTCAGTTATTTGCTACACTTAGTTGTTATTTGTCCTTGTCGTACATATTTCTAGAATATTTGATATCTGGTTTATTTGAGACGCACTGATGAGATTTAAACTGTTAAATTGAAAGTATGACTACTCTTATTTGAAAGGTATTGAGATAACTATATTTGCATAGATCGTCACTACTTCTCAGTTCCTTATTTATTTCTATTACTTACTGAGTTGGTGTACTTACGTTACCCCTTGTACCTCGTG